ATTCTGGGTTATCTCATGGGCCTTTCTCAACTCCAGGGCCTCCTTAATCAAGTGAATGACTATAATGAGAAGAACAAAAAACAAGGAATTAAAAGGTGAATGCTATGCCAGATAATGACGGAAAGGACGACTCATGAGTGAAGCATAAATCCTAGGAGCTGCTGGTAAAATCCACTGTTGCCTGATAGCTTCCTAGGGACCAGACAGAGCTAGAACTTGTGGACAGGCTGTGGTTGGGGGTTGAGGTGATAGGATGGGAAGGGAATGAGAGCGGAGAGAGAGTGAATGAAAGTAGAGAGAAGGAAAGTATGTGTAACTGCAGTAACACAGGGTGATTGGACTATGTCAAGTCTGCTGTTTAGAGCCTAAAGGAATTTCTCTTTATGCCTCTCCCAGGTCCTCTACCTCCTCCCCCACCCTTTACCACTAAGAGATTAGAAACCAGGACAGGCTCATCCATGTTTAAGGGCTATTCTTTCAATGAAGACTCAGTGTCTTACTTTTTATATTAACTGACATTGCATCCTTCAGCACAGCTTGTTTTCTGAATAATAGAAACATAGCCAAGATACTGTGGTTATATAGGATCCCCGAAACCAGCTGAATGTGAATTAGTGTCTATTTTTATGATGAATTGGCTCAGGTCCTTACAAAACAAGCAACTCCTCATTTTATCATACTTTCCCCCCCTCCTTTAGCAGAGACAAATTCCTCAGGGATGTGTGTATTAAAAGACACATAGGCCTTACTGTTTGTAGCACACAGCAGTCATATTTAGGAAAACGCAAGCTCGCATATTTAGGAGAGCACGATTTACTCTGCTAATACTGATGGGAACACTTTGACATCCTAACCTTATACAGTTAAAAAGAAAACTAATGTAACATCTCACATGCTTTTTGAAGATAAATGGAAAAAAAAGTCATAGTGGCTAAATACCACAAGACCAAATGAATGGTTTTTATTAGGGTAAAACTTCCTTCCCCTCTCCTCCTCCCGTCCATCTCCCAAATAGTGCTCTGTTCAACACTGAACTCCATAAAACACTATTTTGATCACATTAATCCCCTGCTCACAAACCTTACATGGCTCCCCATTTGCAAGTAAAAGACCAAACTCTGTATACTGGCCATCAGATCAAAGCCTTTAATTTGACCTCAGGTTTCCAGTACTACATACTGTACTAGGATATAGACAGAAATTTTGGGTCTTAGTCTCAGCCCTGCTACCTACAACTTATGTATCCTTGGGTAAGTCATTTTACTTCTTGAGTCCTTAGTTTCTTCATCTGTAAAATTAGAGTATTGAAGTAGATGATCTCTCTCTAAGGTTCTGTCCACTTTGAAATCCTATGTTTCTATCTCCTTACTGCCTACTATTCCACCATACCAACGATTTTCAACTTTTTCAAGTACTGAGGACTCCTTTTTAACATAAAAATATTTCATGATGTCTGCATGATGACAATCGTGTCATTAATACCTGTTAATTGGGAAAAAAAACATGATGACAAAAAGTCAGTAATGGTTTTAAATAAACCTATCTTTTATTAATCACAATAGCCCCATGCATATTTGAAAAAATAGTAATATAGATAATTATGAGTTACATTATTCAGATTATAGAAAGATATATTTATTTATTTAGATTGAGTCACATTGTGTCTTTTGTTGGAGCTAAATAAAATGACAGTGCTTGGTGAATATGTGGCTGTGTGGATTTCTTTCAATAACTGCATGGATACTGGGGGTCCTCACTTCTTGGGTTGGGAAACACAGCCTTCCTTACATAAACTGTTTGTCCCAACCAAATTGTTTCATCACTATCCCCTAACTCACCTTTCATCTCTCTCTGTGCTTTACCCAAGCTGCTTCCCTAAACTGGAAACCTGATTTCTTTCTCCTCCTTTCTTCCTATCAGAATGATACCTAATAAAACCAAGCTCCAACCTTACTTTCTTAACTGAGCCTTCCCTGATCATCACAGCCCAAATAGAGCCCTCTCTTCTCTGAGCTTTCTGTTTTAGCAATTATTATCTATACCACCCAGATGGCAATTCACTTCCTTGTGATATCTTTCTATTATTGTCCTCAATTTCCATTCAAATCTTGTAACACCTTATCAACAAAGAATTGTTTAACAGAAGTTATCTTTTCAACTGTGTCCAACCCTTTGTGATCCCATTTGGGTTTTCTTGGCACAGATACTGGAGTGTTTTGCCATTTCCTTCTCCACCTCATTTTACAGATGAGGAAACTGAGGCAAACAGGGTGAAGTGACTTACCCATGGTCACACAGCTAGTAAGTGTCTGAGGCTGGATTTGAATTCACAAAGAGTAGTCTTTCTGACTCCAGGCTTGGCACTCTACTCACTGTACCACCTAGCTGCTTCTTAATAGAAGTAGTGTAAAGAATATCACCAGAGAGATTTATGCATGATATAGAACAACCGAACCACCCAAAGGGCTGGAGAACTCAGCCCATTCCTTTCTCCACTATGAGACTCATGTATTAGTTAGATTTAGTCCTCAGAATCCTGGCCTCTAATGAAAGGTGGGGGTAACCAAGCCATTAGTGCTTTTGGCTCTTCAACTAAAAAGGGGATTCTTTGTCATCTCAAAGTACAAGCTTTGCAGGAGTGAATCACACATGGCCAAAAGCAGCCCCTATAACTCTCATGTGGTTACCTAGAACCAGGAAGATGAACTCTGAGCATGCTTCATGGGATGGCCTTTGTTACCTATAAATGGAAATGAAAACAGGGTGGTCTTGTGGCAAGATTCATGAACACATAGCTTGTGTGCCCCCACTGTTATGTGGACAATGTAGAAAAGAAGAACCCCCCAGCACATTGGATGGTCCCCTAACTGGGGTATTACAGTTGGACAGAAACAAAAGTTGCACAGGCTAAGAAGGTATGAGTTGATTGATTTCATCATTGTAGGATCACAGATCTATCTAAAGATGAATTCTTATTTAACTTATTTTTTTTTGTGGGTTTGTGTCACCCAACTAGAATATAAGTTCTAAGCGTTAGGAACTATGTCTAATGCTTCCTGGTGTCCCTCGTTGCACTAAAAGATGGGTCTTGTATATGATAGGTGCTCAAAAGAATTTAAATATTTAATTTGTGGAGAAATTTTATTGATGATTTATTTAGCCCAGTTGTTTCTAGAATCAGTCAACGTATATCTCACTTAGGAAGGCTCCTAATTATACAATAAGCAACAGTTGTTGTTTGGATGCATATTTATTACCATATTTGAGAGTTTTCTTTTTTTCCTTTCCTCCTATCTAACCTTTTATCATAGTCATAAGATCTTGTGTTGAATGAGACATCGATTCTGGGAAGTATGATACAACCATACTAATTCAGATTAAATGAAGGAGAAGGCTATTCTGATTGCATGAAAAGTCTCAATTAGAGGAGTATTTTGGAGGAAAGTAGCTTGATAGTTTCAAGTTCATACAAAAACTCATTTAGGCAAAGTTTCTCAACTTAAATGTACTGAGAGAATGTCTTTAAGAAGCAGGTAAGAATGAGTGTTTTGTAATGAACACATCAAACTTCAGCATATAAATTCATGCTTCTGAGGTGTCTAAAGATGCTTGAAAAGAGTATGCATTCATGCAATTTTAACATTTCCCTTGCAATTGTGTATATTACCAATTTGTTTATAAAATGCTTTAAAAGCCCTAGGGGGTAAAGACAAATTTGAGTCTTGACCTTGTCAAAGTGTCATAGGATTCCTATCAGTGGGGTCTGGGTAAATATATAGGAAGAAATTTGATAATTTTGCTCTCTCAATAGAAGTCAAATAATCTAGTTTTATAAGAAGAAGAGAAGTCAGAATTTGAGGACAGGTAAAATTGTAAAGGATTGTTAAGCTCAGGTTTCTGAGAAGCAGTTTGCTTTGTGTGGAGTATACCAAAGGCAGTGGAGACGCAGAGTGGTACATTTACAAGGATCTTTCCTGTTTGTGAAGCCCAGAAGTTGTAATGAGCATTCATTGGGAGCACTTTCACATGCTATGGCTGCAATTTACCCACCATCTAAATTAGCTAAAATCTGTGGTCTTGATTTATTGCATTTGCAACAGTCGCACTAAAGAAAGGTAATTCCTTCTGAAAATGCCACATGCAGGCAGGAACAGGAAACCAATTAGGAATCAGTGGATGATAAATGGGCATTTTTACCAGCAGTTTACTTAATATCCCCATTAAATAAGCCTCTTTGCATTTATCATTTCATTCTCCCTCAGTCTATAAGGTCCTTTAATTGCTGCCTAAATAAGCCCTGTGATTCTGTCCAAATTTAATCTTGGATCGAGAGAGAGATATCCTTTCCAATGCTCAGCTGCCCAGCTGCCAAGAACTGTCAGAAATGATCACATAGCTTTTCACATTTCTCACAGTCTCATTGGAGAAATGTAAGATTGACAGAAAAAAAAAGCAACCCTCCACACCAGATTTATTTGAGGGGAGGAGGCTGGGGTGGAAGGTAGTAAACAACATCACCACACAGAACTATAACCTATAGAGCAAACAACCTTTCTCCTCAATTGTACTACCTCTGTGTGTGTGTTTATGTGTCTCTCTGTGTGTCTGCATACATGTAAACATAGCATTAAAAATATATTAAATAGCCATCGCCTTACACTGCTTCCCTTTACAAAGTTATCTTGCTGGTAGAACTAATGAAGTCTTATAGAGTTTGCGTAGTTAAATAATTTCTAGAGATTTGTCATTACTGGTAGCTGTTAATGTGATGAGGGGCGTGTGTGTGTGTGTGTGTGTGTGTGTGTTTGTGTGTGTAACATAACACCTTTCTGATCCCCCAGCTGTTAGTTCCTCACTATTGTAATTAATTACCTTGTATTTTTGTATGCATTTTGTGTGTTTTTAAATTTATACATATTGTTTACCCTAACTCCCCGGTGTAGAATGTAGAACTCCTTTAGAGGAATAACTGTTTAACTTTTGTCTTGTAGCCTCAGCACTTAGCACAGAGCCAGGCTCATCGTTGCTTACTTAATAAATGGTTGTTGATTAATTGATTGATCTTGGTACTCAACTGTAAGGTAAGACAATGAAAAATGTCAGAACAAGAGCTTTTCGCTACCTCCCTTCTTCCTTGATCTGAGTTATCCTTTTAGGCATTGTTGTCGATAAGGTATTTAAATCTGGAAAGGTCCTTAGAGTTCATCCAATCAAACTTCTTCATTTTACAGACAAGAAAATCTAGGCTAAGAGAGTTTGAACGATTTGCCTAGGGTCACCCAAATTGTCGTTCAGATGTTTTCAGTCAAGTCTGACTCTTTGTGACCCCATTTGGGGTTTTCTTGGCAAAGATACTGGATGGTTTGCCATTTCTTTCTCCAGCATTTTACAGATGAGGAAACTGAGGCAAATAGGGTTAAATGACTAGGGTCACACAGCTAGTAAGTGCCTAAGGCCAGATTTGAACTCAGGAAGATGAGTGTTCCTGACTTCAGGACCAGCACTTTATCTACTACTCTACCTAGTCACTCTGATTTCTGTGATTTGCCTTGGGTCACATAGGTAGATAGCAAATAGTTAAGTCAGATTTCAAACCCAGATCTTCTGACTCCACAGCCAGAATTCTTTCTGTTGCACTGTTGGTTTGCTTTCTACAATATGAAAGCTGATACTTTTTTTTCTTCTAGAGATGCCTCTTGGGGCTTGGAGATTTCCAGGGGTGGCAGTAAGAGGTGGAGGGTGGTCTACTTTGGTCATGAGAGTGAAAGGGAAAGGGGAAATCAGTCACTTGGAAACAACGTTGCCCAAACTGGAGTGATGCATGAAAGGGACTTCTTCTGAACTCTGGTGGACCCCAACTTGGGTGGTCCAGACCCCTTTCCTTGGCCACAAAAACAGCACTAAAAGTTATTACTCTGAACCTCATATTTTCCCTCAATGTGATATTTGGCAGAAGGGAAAAGTTATCTTCCACTCCTTCCACCATTCCTCTTCCGTAATACCTTTGGGATTTAGCTGAAGATTAATTTTTGAAATGTGTGGAAGTTATATGTGTGTGTGTGCATGCATGCATGTGTGTATTTACTATAACTTGGAAGAAACAACAAGTTTTTGCAGGCTAATGGAAACCTTACAAAGTACCTCTGTGCCTCACCCAGCTCCTCAGCTGCTGCCTGGCTGGTTCCGTGTCTCTGAATAAGTAATGGAGATCAACTTGAAGAAACAGTCTCAGAGTTCATTCTGCCCAGTTGCAAGGCCAGCTTCCTGTGGCCACTATAAACACAGTCTCTGTTAATAAAGAGCATGCTCTTGGGAACTCACCATACCATTACATAGGACTAGAATTGCCCACTAATTAGATCCAGGTAAGTGAGAACGTTATTGACAGGGCTGAAAAGTTGTGTATGATCTTTTCCATTTTTCTTCTACCTTCTTCTCTTTTGCTTCCTTCTCCTTCTCCTTTTTCCTCCTCCTCTTCTTCCTCTTTTTCTTTTCTTCCTCCTTTCTTCTTCTTGTCTTCCTCCTCCTCTTCTTCCTCTTCTCCTCCTCCTCTTCCTTGTCCTCCTCCTTCTTCCTCTTCTTCTCTTCCTCCTTTCTTCTTCTCTTCCTTCCTTCCTTCCCATCTCACTTTCTTTTTTGCTCTTACTCTCTATGCCTCTGTGACTCTCTGTGTCTCTCTTCCCCCTCCTCATTCTTTCATGTTTTTGCTTTCACTCTTATTCTTCTTTTCTCTTTGTCTTTTTCTGTCTCTCTCCATCTCTTTTTTTCTGTCTCACTGTCTGTCTTATTTTCTCCTTCTCCCTACCATATGTAAGATGAGACTATGACCCAACTCCGGATAATTACTGAACTGCCAGATACTTTTGTCTTCCTTTTCTTAATTGACTATTTTGTCTGTGAAAAACAACATGACATAAACAGTGCCAGAAGAATTTACTTACTGACTTGTTTGATGATATTTTTAAATTAGTTTAAGGAATATGGTATCCTTAAATAGTATCTTTTTATGTATTTTTCAAATTAAATTTTGTTGTACAATTAACAACTGCCCTCCCTCCCGTTCCCCTACCTCCACTAGAAAAACTAAAAGAAAAATAAAAATGCTCATAATAAATATGAAGTTAAATAAAGCAAATGCCCACATTGATCATGTCAACAAATATATGCCTCAGTCTACATATTCAATACATCACTTTTCTATCAGGAGACATTTAAAACTATGCATCTTCTTCAATAACATCATTGTTGATCATTGTTGATCCAATGCTTGGATCAGATTTCTTAAGTCTTTCAGAGTCTTAAGTCTCAATATGAATATGTTCAGTTTTACAATAGTTATTGTAGTATAAACTGTTCTTCTGGTTCTGTCCACTTCACTCTGTATCAGTTCATATAAATCTTCTCAAGTTTCACTGAAATGATTGCCTTCACCATTTCTTATAGCAAAATTATTTATCTGTTACCTTCATATACCATAATTTGTTCATCCATTCCCCAATTGATGGGTACCCCCTGAGTTTCCAGTTTTTTGCCACCAAAAAAGAGACATTATAAATATTTTTGTAATATAGGTCTTTTCTTTCTTTCTTTCTTTCTTTCTTTCTTTCTTTCTTTCTTTCTTTTTCTTTCTTTCTTTCTTTCTTTCTTTCTTTCTTTCCTTTTCTCCTCTCTCTCTCTCTCTCCTCCCTCGCCTCCTCCCTTCCTCCCCCTCCTCCCTCCCTTCCTTCCTTCCTTCCTTCCTTCCTTCCTTCCTTCCTTCCTTCCTTCCTTCCTTCCTTTCTTTCTCCCTTTAGGATTTAGTAATGGTATCTATCACTGGGTTAAAGGGTATGTAAAGTTTAGTGACTTTCTGGGCATAGTTCCAAATTGCTTCCCTCTAATAGCTCCTTGTTTTAAGAGGCATTTTAGAGGACATTTCCTTCTGAGTCTTGACAATGTCCTGATGAAGTTGTTAGGAGGTATTGCTGTCTCTTCCAGTTTACATATGCCCAAACTGAAGCTCAGAGTCATCTGATGGCCTGTTTAGTGTCCTGTGATAGCTCAAGGAGAAATATAAAAATTGATTCTGGGTTTGCTTTTGTGTTTGAATTATGCTAAAATAATTTAGAATGTCTTTTATGATAGTTTTGATAGTGGGCTCATTATGAAGACATTAAAATATGAACATACACTAGAGAATTAGAAACTGGACCTGTGATTTCACTGGTATGGAGTATAGATTCCCAGCTGAGGACACTCTCTCTTCCAAAGTAGGTTGACATCTTTGCTGAAATTTAGAGGGCTACCCAGAGCACTGAGAGGTTAAGTGATTTGCCCAAGGACACAGAGACAGTATGTGTCAAATGTGGGACTCGAGTCCAGATTTTGAACACAGGTCTTCCCAGTTATGAAACCATCTGTCTGTCCATTATACCACAGTCTCTGTATATAACACACATGCACATATGTTATCTATATATGTCTATATAGAGACACATGTATATGGCTACATATAGGCACATGTATATGTATATACATATACACACATTATATAGACCTACATGTGTGTATGTTATATACAGAGGTATACACACACAATCATGCCCTATGCTTACTTTCCCAGCCCACATGATATATGAATATATAAATATGTGGACACTTTTATCTAATATAAAATATCTGGCCTGCATGTAGGCCATGCTTAGGCAAAAGTATGGTTACATAGGGTAAGAGAGACAGACTTTAGTGTGGCATAGGAGATAAGGAGCTGGCCTTGGATTCTCAAAGATCTATGTCTAAGGTCTGCCTCAGACACACTATCTGTGTGACCCTGGGCAAGTCATTTAACCACTTAGTGCCCCAGACAACTCTAAGAAAACAAATTACAGAACAATTATTGATCTGCATTGGTAGAAGAAATTCAGTACACCAGTAAAATCATCAGTATCTAGGCTAGGGCAATAAAATTGCAATAGGGTCCAGGCTAGAGTAATAAAATTTAAGAAGCTCTCTCCCTTTTGAGTTGTTTACCCATCTTTAGTAATTTTGTTTTGAGAACCGTATATATCAAGACGTGAGCAAGGATGATTTTCCAGGGTGGGAAGGAGCCATGAGTGAGATAGCACTATTAATATTTTGAAGAAAAGGCTGCTCCTTTTGCAGTTATTTGTTACTCTAATGGTAATCAGTGAGCTTTGAGAAAAAGAGATCTCTGAGGATGTAGAAAATGAAGAGAAGCCTTTGTTCATGATCCATTAAATACTCATGAAACAAACTTTCTGAGAGCTATCATTAAAAATGAAACAAAACCAACAACAAAATCAGCACCAATTCTCTAGGTTTTCAGGAATAATATAAATCATCTTGAAAAAATTTAGCATTAAGCATACCTAAAAATGAAGAGAAACTCTGTCTTTACATAGCATGTCAATGGGGTTTTTAAGTGCTATAGATTTTCAAATATGTGTGTTAGCTTTAAATGCAGAGTTAACTCCAAATGGTGGAATCCCATAAAAGTGACTAATAATGACACCTCTTGCCAGTGACATATCTTTGTCTTTGGAAGTGCAACTGTCATTAATTTGCACTAATCTTATACTGACACCTTTAAACGAGTATTTCCCAGTATGACAGTATAGAAAAGAAATTTAATGAGAAAACTATTTCTTGTACTTGTTTCTTACAACCAGCACCTGAAACTAAACCAGACAGCTCAATGTTTAGTAGTCTGGTTTAGATTCCTTTTGCACAGATTTACAGTTTTTGGAAGAACTGGTATATTTTTCTAAACTATTCACCTACCAGTGGGCACCTGTTGCATTTAAAATTAACAAATGAATAGATAATTGGATTGGAAACATCCTGACTGCTTATGCTTTAATTTGACCAACTGGTATCTGCAGTGAGGCAGGGGGAGAGTATTGCAATTATAAAGTCTGTCTCCTTTTAACATTCTCTAAAATGAAAATAGTCAAGTTTCCCTTGGCTTTAATATGTTACCATTCCCAGAAGCACCTGGGCTCTTTTTGCAGAGGATTTTGCTTGTATGTTCAGTGTCCTAAAAGCACACTTTTCAGGGTTTGCCAATCCTCCCTAATTTGGG